CACCGCCTCCGGGGCGCGCGTGCGCAGTGCACCACCTCCCGCAGAGACTGCTGGGCGGGGCGACGCGAGCCTGAGCCGAGCGGGAGCGGAGCGCGGGAGGAACATGTGGCGACCGGTGAGTCCCCCCGCACGGCCGGCGTCCCCTTTCCCGGCCGCCGTCAGCCGCCCGTCCGGGACCCTCAGGGCCCCGAGACCCTACTCCCTGCGCACCCCAGAGCCGCTCCGTCCGGGCGCTGTCAGAGACCCTGCCCGCCAGGGACCCAAACCCCCAGGGATCCCCTCCGCTCCCGGACCTCAGCGCTCTTTAGGGGTCCTTCACAGCTCTCAAATACCCTGCCACCCGGACTCCCCTTTAAGCCCCCAGACCCTGTTGGGAGATGCCGGGTGCCACTCAGAAGCCCCCGGGCGGATTGTCCCCGCACACCCGAGAGCCCTCATCCTCACAGGCTCAGAGGCCTCCGCCCTCACCCCTCGTCGCCACCCTCCCCAGGGGGACGTCCTTTCCCAAGGCAGCTGCTGGCCCGCTGCCCTGGCTTCGGGGCTGTGGACACCCCTGTCCCTCTCCCGTGTATCCCCTCAGGCTCTGCCGGCCCAGGCTGGGAGCCCTCCCTGCCTCTCCCTTCCGCCTGCTCGCTGCGGACCCTTCCCCTGGTCCCTGACCCACCTGCGACCGCCCTGAGCCGACGCTTGCCCTGGCTCCGGCCCTCGCGCCTCCCGCCCTCGCATCCTTCCTGCGCTCGCCTGGCCCTGGGCTGCCTGCCCACTCCTGCTCGTGTTGACCCTGACCGAGGCAGCTGGCGTTCCCTGGTGCTTGGCGGTGGCCTCCCCATCTGAGGCATCTTTGCAGTTAGCACCTTTGTTGCCACTCCCTCCCCAAGGGTCTAGCCCCATCCTCTCCTAAAGCTTTGGTTTTCTGTAGAGCTTGCATTTTTCTCTCAAACCTAGCCTTGTAGGTTTAGACATTCACAGTAAAATGAGTCTCCCTGAACCTGTGGCTGGCAGTGAGCAGCTCCAGTACTTAGGTTGTTTTACCGGCTGAGGCCATGGAGCAGTGTCGGTCTGAGAGTCTGGTGTCAGGTGGAGAGACCTGTCCTTGAGTATAGCACTTCACAGCTTATAAAGCTTCTCCAGCCCTGGCTGATTTGGCTCAGTGGTTAGAGCATCTGCCCTTGGACTGAAGGGTCCTGGGTTCAGTTGCAGCCAAGGGCATGTACCTTGGTTGCAGGCTTGATCCTCAGCCCTGGTTGGGGATGGTGGGGGAGGCAACCAATGGATGTCTCTCTCTCACATTGATGTTTCTCTCTCTCTCTCCCCCTCTCCCTTCCACTCTGAAAAGCAATAGAAAAAATATCCTCAGGTGAGGATTAAAAAAATAAATTAATTAAAAAATAAAGCTGCTTCATACATCAGGTCAGGTAATGCTCCAGACCAGGGAGGGAGGGACAGGTTTTAGCCCATAATTAGCAGCTACTCACAGCCACTAAGTAGAGTGGACCCCATAGGTTTCTCAGTCCTGATGGGCTGAGAGGGTCACAGGTGTCCATGGTCCTCTGGGCCGCTGCCCTGGGCCCAGATTCCTAGGCTCACCTTGAGGACATGTCTGTGTGCAGTCTCCCCTCCCACTAAGGGTGAGGGCTGTCGACCCTGTTATTGAACTGCCCAGGTTCTTGTCAGGTCTGTGCAGGTTTCTGTTACAGCATCATTATGAGACTCGGTGGTGGCTTCTTACTGCTGTGGGCTGGCTTGTCTGCAGTGACATCTCATTTTCCTTCTAATCAGCTGTCTAATCCATGGGGTGTTAGGAAAACAAACGGCTTAGCTGGTGCCAAATAATTGACCGTACACATTCACTGTTCTGTGTTAAAGTATACACATTGGGGGTTTATGCCCTGACCGATGTGGCTTGATGGTTAGAGCTTTGCCTTGCACACCAAAGGGTTGTGGGTTCGATTCACAGTCAAGGGCACATACTTCGGTTGTGGGTTAGCGCGCTCCCTGCCCCTAGCTGGAGTGCATGCCAGAGGCAACCAGTTGATGTGTCTCTCTCTCATCCATGTTTCTCTCTCTCCTCTCTCCCTCCATCCCTCCCTCCCTTCCATTCTCTCTGAGAAGCAATGGAAAAAATATCCTCATATGAGAACTAACCAAAAAAGAAAAAAAAAAGTACACAACATTTATGAGGTTTGTAATATCGATTTGCGTGTTACTACTCAGAGCTCTTTTTTGCTGCTTTGCACGTTGTTAGCCAAGTTCCGATGAGCCCTGGGTTTCTGCAGACATACTGTGCACACGCTCTAAGGAAGCATAACAGGCTTGGGGACAGGAAGCCCATCTCATCTTGTCCACACTGGAGGGCTTTGGGAGTGGGAGAGGTGCGGGGACAAGTGTACGATCATCTTGGCAAGAAGGCACTGGCATATGGGAGGATTTCCTGGGAACCCTCAGCCATCTCTGCACCTGTGTCCAGGCACCTCTGGTGCTCAGGCCTTGGGTGTGGTTCAGGTTATATGTGATGTGCTGGAAACTGCCCTGGACTGGACCCTGGAAAGTTTGGCTGTAGGCTCTCCCCGAATTTATAGCCACATCACCTCTTTGGGCTTTGGGGATGTCTCCTGTGTGATGAGGATAGTTTGGGAAGCATTGAGCACCCCTAACTGACTGGAGCCTGTGGGAGCAGTGGAGTTGTGGGCACACAGCCTCATCCTTGGAGTCCTGTCTCACGCCAGGCTGCTGCAGGGCTGCTCATCTCTTGCTGGACCATGCCTTCCATCTACTGTTCAACAAGTGTCCTCGACTGCACCGTGTGGGTTCTGGCTCATTCTGTGCTTATCACTGTTGATGTTGTGCAACAAGTGTTCATGGAGTTTCCGCTTCATCTAGCAAAACATGTGCTAGGTCCTAGAAGTACAGACATGATTGAGAGATGGGCCCTGCTCAGTCGGCTGGGGACACAGAGACTAAGCTGACAGTTACTCCTGTGTGATAAGGACAGTGGAAGAGGGATAGACCAGGTGCAGGGGTGGGGGGTGAATCAGGGTGGACCGAAGGGTATTCTAGGTAGGACAGCAGCCTGGGGGACAGGCCTGGGCTGCCCAGGGTCTACCAGAGAGATCTTTGTCACAGGAGTGTGAGTGAGGAGTCTGTGCTAGGAAATGAGTTTGGGAGGATGAGATGCAACCAGAGCTCCTACTAGGTGGCGATTCCTGGAGACTTGGCACTGAGTTGTCGTGTGCTCAGAGGCTGTAGACTCTGGTCCTCAGCTTCCTCACCAGAGCCCCTGACAGCAATGGACAGTCGTCAGGAGGCTGGGGTCGCAGCCAGGGCCTCATGCTTTGCTGTAAAATGACTCAGGGTTAGCATGCTCTTCTCTAAAAGAACAATATGGGTTTTTGGTGGTTTTTGTTTTGTTTTGTTAATTCTCACTCAAGAGTATTTTTTCCATCAATTTTTTTAGAAAGAGTGGAAGGGCCGGGGGGAGAGAGAGAAATAAACCACATCGATGTGAGAGAGACACCTATTGGTTGCCTCCTGCACACATCCCAACCCAGGCTGGGGATCAAACCTGTAACCCAGGTATGTGCCCTTGACCATGAATTGAACCCTCGACCCTTCAGTGTGCAAGCTGATGCTCTAACCACTGAGCACACAGGCCAGGGCTGTGTGTTTTATATTTTTAAAATTTACTTTAAATAAAATCCAATTCATAATAGTATTGTTATTCAAACAATCCTGTACTTTTTTTTTTTTAATCTTCACCCGAGGATATTTTTTCCATTGCTTTTCAGAGAGAGTGAAAGGGAGAGAGACAGAGAAAGAGAGAAAGAGAAACATCAATGTGAGAGAGACAGTGATTAGTTGCCTCCTACACTTGCCCCAACCAGGGCTGGGGATCGATCCCACAACTGAAGTACATGCCCTTGGTTGGAATCGAACCCGGGACCCTTCAGCCCGAGGCCTGACACTCTAACCACTGAGCCTAACCTGCTAGGGCAATCCTGTACTTTTTTTAAAAAAGTTTTTAATTAATATTTAGAGCAAGGAAGGGGAGGGAGGGAGGAAGAGAGAGGGAGAAACATATATTTGTTGTACCATTTAGTTATGCATTTACTGGTTAATTCTTGTATGTGTCCTGACTGGGTATTGAACTCGCAACTTTGGTGTATTGGGATGACGCTCTAACCAATTGAGCTGCCCAGCCTGGGCCAATCCTGCAGGTCTTATCAACTGATTGATAACTTATGCTAGAACAGAAAAAAAATCTTTTAAAAAAATTTTTATTGAATTTGTTGGGGTGACATTAAGAATAGTATGTTTTAATATCAAAATGATGTTTAAGTTTATTGGTGAGTTAGGTGACTTGACATTTTCTCTCCAAAGCCTTACATATTAATGACTTGGGGACGGTGTGCTCCCCTCTGGCTGTCAATACCTCTTTGCACTGGAGGATTTCAGAGCGGGCCATTGTGGGACCAGGATGGGTGTCATCCTGCTGCTGGCTCAGCAAGGAGCTGCTGCAGCATATGCCCTCCTTTTGTTGAGCGCCTGTTAAGTGCCAGGCCTGAGTGATAAGCTTTATTTCCACCATCTCTCACCTTTCCAGCCTTGCAAGGTGAACACTGTTACCCCATTCAGAGATGGTGTCAGGAGGGGAGTTACCCCTGCACTGGGTGATGGATCGAGGCTACAGACCAGACCTGTTCCTCCATCCCGGAGCTTGGCACTCGTGGACTCTGCCCCACTCATGACACCCCGTCAGCACAAGGCCTCTGTGAGTCATGTGCCATCTGCATACTCTGTGCCATCTTACTGGGGTCAACAGAAAATCTAAGTGGCCACAACCAGCGTGTGCCTGGCGGGAGCTATGCACAATTTCTCTGGGGATGAGTACTCACTCTGCACCCCCCTAGTGGGCTGGGCTTCTCCAGGATGAGGGACTTGAAGGTGAGCCCTCAGGAGCTCTCCTTCCCTGCGATCTTCTGCTGGCTAAGTCAGATGTGCCTAGAGTGTGTGTGGCACACGTGCTCAGCCTTCACAGGGGCATCGAGGGGGTTCAAGTGATGCTGGGTTCAGCCATGGTCTTGGGATAGCTGTGCCAGGGCTCCAGGGTGGTACACACACATTCTCTGAACTGGGGGCCCTTGGTTCTGCGCCTCCAGACTGTTGGCACGTTGCTTGGATAACCTGTAGATCTTTGCTCTGAACGTTGACATCTCAGAATAATCATAGTTGGTTGGCTTTGGTAATTTGCTTTTTTTGTCTGCCATAGTGAACACCATGGGGCTTGCAACAGACCCCACTTTGTTGCCCTTCCACTCTGGTCTCACCAAACTTTTCATATATTGGTAATAGTCTCTTTTCTCTTCTGGGCAAAACAAACTCTTCTTTTCCTTTTGAAGAAGCCGTGGAAACTGCTTCAGTTCAGCCCAGCAAGTGTACTGCTTTATGTCAGGTAGGTTGCATAGGGTTGTTGAGAGGAGGTGAGGGTATTGGGGACAGCCCGGTGGCTTGGCACAGTGAGGAGGAAGCCTAGGAGAGACTAGCGTCTCCCTGACCCCAGGTGAGCTCAGCACGCACATCTGCCTGCTGTGTGCTCCAAGCTTTGCAAGTGTGGGTTCACTTGATCTGCACTTTAACAGTGTGGTGGTACCCACTTCATAGACAGGGAAACTGAGGCACATAGAGGGAAGTAATTGACCCATGCTGCATGGTTAGTAAGTGCCAGTACCTGGATTCCATTTTCAGCCCCTGAGTCCTGGGTCCAGAGTCTGGCCCCCGTTGCTCAGCCTTCGGTGGCTGTCCTCAGCCCTGGCCTCTACCTGCTCAAGGCCAGGAGCACCCGTTCCCCCAAGTTGTGACAACTAGGAGTGTCTGCAGACAGTGCCCAATGTCCTGGCTCAGAGTCTGTCCAAGTGAGGACCCTTGCCCCAGCTCCGAAATGCTACCTTCCCAGCTGGGACATGGAGTATAATGGCAGATGCTTCACACCTTTGATCATGAAAACATTTACATATAGGTACCAGCTGACATGCCCACCACCTAGGTCTGCCTACTGCTAATGTCTTGTCCTGGTTGTTTCTATTTGAAAACATATGTTTTGTTGTCATTGAACCATTTGATAGTAAGTCACAGACAGTTTGACACATACCCTCTAGACCTTCACTGTGCACCCCCTGATCAAGGACATTCTCTTTTATAACCCCGGTGACTTTATCATGGCCCACATATGAACAGCACAGGCAGACCTTGGAGACACTGCTGCTTTGGTTCCAGACCACTGCAATAATATTAGTCTCGTGGACTTTAAAAAAAAAATTTTTAAGGTATCTTTATTGATTTCAGAGAGGGAGGGAGAGGGAGAGGGAGAGAGAGAGATAGAAACATCATGATGAGAGAGAATCATTGATGGGCTGCCTCCCGAAAGCCCCCCACTGGGAATTGAGCCCGCAACCCGGGCATGTGCCCTGACCGGGAATTGAACCTAGATTTCCTGGATCATAGGTGGATGCTCAACCACTGGACCACGCCTGGTTGGGCAAGTCTCTTGGATTTTTTGTTTCTTGGTGCATATAAAAGTTATGTTTATACTGTAGTCTATTGAGTGTGCAGGAACATTATGTCTAAAAAAAGAACATACATACCTTAATTAAAACATACTGTTGCTAAAAAATGCTGGCCGTCACATAAGCCTTGTTGGAAAGATGGGGCTGACAGACTTGCTGAATGCTGGGTTACCGCAAACCTTCAATTCATAAAAATCACACCATTGAGAGCACAGGACTGGGAGGAGAGCTTGCAATTCCCAGTGTCCACTGTCTGTGTTCAGATCGTCTCAGGAGGTGCTTCTTCCAGGTCAAGGTTGGGGTTCCTGCTTTGCACTTGGTGTTTCATCTGTCTAGCCTCCTCACCTACAACAGTTCTCCCACTTTTTTCTTGTAACCTTTTATTTAATGTCTTGTTATAAAAAACTGCGAATGTTTACAGAAGTAGAGAGACTCAATAAATGGCTGTGCCTAGCACCAGTACCCAACTTATGGATCCTGATGACTTTCTGAAGAGGCCAGGTTACTGTTGAAAAAAGGTTTCCCCCCTCAGATCTGCTTGTTGGGGTTTTCTCAGGGTCACTGATAATGAGTGCTAAGCCCAGCGGCTGGCAGCTGGTGGCTGTTGTCAGTTGTTGCTTGTGTGTTGTGGTCTTGCTGTGGCGGCACTCCCCGGCTCCTCACACTTGCCCGGGATCTCCTTCACCCAGCAACCCCTCCCCAGCCACTGCTTGGGCTCCAAGCCCTTGTGACTGCACATCTCTCCCTGCCTGCTCCAAAGCTGATGTCTCCAGTACAGCACCCCCTCCCTTGGGAAAACCTCGGTGAGGGCCTTGGGCCGCCTGCCTATCTCCAGCTCACTTTGCCTCAGCCCTTCTCTTTTTGGGCAGCCCCCTCTTCACCTCTGGGCACACTTGTTTTCCAGGCCTGTCTCCTTAGAAATGCCTTGTACTCTCCTGGTTTCAGGCCCTCACTGATGCTGTATCCTTTGCCTAGAAAACCCTCCACAGTGTCCACATGGATCCTTCTGGACAGCTAGGCCACAGGATTCCTCCCTCTCTTGCACCCAGTGCTGTCCCCATGGCCCCGTGTGCGTCTTTCTGTGGTCCCTGGTCGAACACAGGGCCCACTGTCAGGCTAGTCTTCCTGCCAGTGTCTGGTGGGTGGGTAGGTTTGAGCAGTAGAAAGTATGCAGTCAGGTGAGGGACACAGGGTGGGTCTGGCAGGGCATGGGCAGAGTTGTATTAGGGGGCAGGTATGGTGTGAGCAGGCAGGGCTGACCATCCTGGCACATCTGCTTGTCACAAACCCCCATCTGATGTCCAGTGGGAGGTAATTGGGATCCCAGTCTGGACCCAGCCATCCTGCAGGCACTCACTGATGTTTTGAGAACCGTGTGTGCACACAGATATGTTCTCTGGGCCTGCTCTTCTGTGTGGCCCAGCATGGCAGAGTCAGGTGTGCAGGCCAGAGGAGCAGGAGGGTGCACAGAACGCCTGTCCACTCTGGCCCTCACTGTGTGTGGCCTTGCTGAGCAAAGGTTTTGTCAGCACCATCCTCTTCTTGGGACAGTAGGTCATGGACATTTTTCTTTGACTTTGCTTTGCTTTGCTGTCCTTGAAATTGTCTTCAGGGCTGCATGCTTTGGCCAGAAAATGATTGGAAAGTCAGCTCTGTATCTTGCCCAGAGTTCACAATGATAATCTTAACATCTGTGCTGTGGACTATGATTTACTATACACAATGTTTTTTCCCCCTAGAAACTGAGAATTTGCAGTTGGGAAATTTGTGGTTGAGGAACTTGTAAGACCCGTAATTCAAGTAAGATTGGGAGACTAAGGTTGCCAGTGAGCAGAGAGCCTCCTCCCAGAAACTTAGCTTCTTTGTGTGTCCCGCTGTCTGGGGTCTCCACTCTGCCTCTGGGGTCGGCGTAACGAGTTCCTGGCGCCTTCATCTACTTTCAGAACAACCACCTATGCAAGGCCTGGTCCTGTCTTTCTGATTGTGTGGTTAAGCATTCTTGACACTTCCTTTGGAAACCAGAATGCCTTCCTTGGACTGTGGGCCAGTGGTCTCAGCAGCAGGGAAGACTAAATGATAGGCCTCAGGGCCCCAGTAGTGCCAGACAGGGTGAGGGCATGTGGCCACCTCATCTGACCCCGTGCTGTTGCTCCCTTTGCAGTTACCACTTTGCCACTTACACCGCGCTGTGCTGCAGAGCAGGCCGCAGAGCTGGCCCATCCCTACCGCCTTCCTCAGGAGAAGCCTTAGGGTCCCGCCTGCTCAGTGGTGAGTTCTCTGCAGCCTCTCACCCAGCAGGGATGGATGAACCCTGTGGGCCCAAGGCTGGACCTTCTCTGTACCCTTCCTCCCCCAAGACGGGATGTGTTTGCTCCTGGTGTGGTGGGCTGATCTGGGACTGGGATTTCATGGGCAGGACCCTGCAGCAGCATCGTGAGCAGAAGACAGTCAGAGCTGAGGCTCAGACAGTGGACGCAGGAGGGATTGCTGTATCGGGGCCAAAAAAAAAAACGCCGGGGCACGAGGGTCCAAGACCAGAGCCAGTGGGCAGGATGGGCAGATTGAGGTGGGCAGGGGTTGCAGGTGAGACTTAGGCCTGGTAGAACAGTAGCTTAGAGTAGGTGCTGGGGCTCCCACTGCGTTGTCTTGACCTCTTATCGTTTTCGCTGTATGTTACTTACACGTCTTGCCATCCTGATGCTTGCAGTCCAGTTGGGCCATCAGTGAGGTGCATGGTGGGGGTAACTACAGGGTAGGTGGCCCTGGTCCCATGAGTGGCTTTCCGTGTAGTCAAGGAGCCACTTTCTCCATCCACTGGCCCCTTGGATTCTGGCATCCTGGGTGCCTGTGGAGCTCAGGCGAGATGACTTGGACACTGTGGTCAGAGAGCATTCTGTTGACCACATAGTCATCTGACACCAACGTCACCTGCAGAGCCCAGGCCAGGCAGGGGGGTGGGGCGTGGGCAGGAAGTAGCCAGTTATACATCTTTGTCTCTCCAGGTCCTTGAGACCCCAGCCCCTGTGGAAGAAGGTGCTCTCCTCCACAGCAGTGGGGCTGCCCCTGCTCCTTGGCATCCACTACTTCACAGCGGAGCCGCAGGAGAAGAGGAGGATGCGCCTCATGGTGGACGGTGTCGGGCGCTTCGGCAGGTAGGAGGGCTGGGTGGCGTGGTGCTGCGTTATCCCTTGCACATCCCTGCCCCCATGGGCCTAGTACACACTGGACACACCTCCACAGACCCTCCAGATCTCCCTTGACTGGTGGGGGCTGGGGAGAGGACTAGTGCCTCCCACCCTCCTCTTCACCTCCCTTCTGGCCCAGGAGAATTGGCACTCAGAGGGGTCTGGGGCTCTGAGGGAGGGCTGCTCTCTCACCTGCCCCCATGCACTGGAGTGGACATGGTGCTGTCTGCTCATCAGCCTCTTTGACCCTGTCTCCTGGTCAGGATGTTGGAGGCAGGGCTGATCTCTGGGTGGAGCACCGTGGGTCAGCACTCCTGCTCTTGGTCAGATCCAGGAATTCCTACAGCCTCAAGGTCCTAAGTTCCAGCTCTTGGCACTGAGTGAACCCTCACTTTACCCAGACCCACTGTGCACAAGATTGCCTGCAGAAAGACCTCATAAGACCCTGGTTAGGGGTACTGCTGGGGATGGGGTGCTGTAATCCTCTGGCTGTGAGCACCTGCTGCCTCCATGGCCTGGGCCAATTTCTCCAGGGAAGGAAGGTAGAGGCCACCGTGGCCTTCAGGCATTTAGCCAGAAGCTTCATTGAGATTTACACTAGGCCAGAGGTGCCAGATGGCTGTCCACCCACCTACTCCCTGTCTCCAGGACGAGACAAGCTGGTTACTGCTCCCTGGGCAACTGGAGCTCCCAGTCGCCCTTATGGGCTAGTTCTGGGTGTTGGCCTCTGTGTTGTGCAAGCCTCAAGGTGGATGGCAGAGTGTGGAGCCAGGTCTGCCTTTTCTTCTGTGACTCTCCCGTGTCTGTGGGACTGTCCCTGTGTCTCACCTGCCTCATGTGTCGGACACCCCAGCAGCAGGTTTGTGTGCCTGCCTCTCTGCTGTGCTCCTGAGAGCACATTTTCCACCACAGTTTCAGAGGCTGAGCTGGGATTGGAAGGAGGGGAGCCCCCCTCCCCAAGTCTATGCCTTCTTGTCAGCTCTAAACCTTAACAGTTGCCAGGATAATCAGGCCTAATGGAATGTCCCTGGCTGGGTGCAGGGTGACCAGAGGACTTCTGGAGACCGAGAACACACAGCAGGTCCTGGATAAGGGGCAGCATGGGTGCAGGAACCCAGGGAGGGAACATGGGTAGGGGTAAGTCTGACCATGAGAGGTCGGGTGCTTGTTCTGTTGCAGGATGGCCAAGGTCAGAACGTGTCACATGTGCCCAATGCACAAAGACTGGAGTAGAGGGAGGCTTGCTTCAGGACCTACATTTTACAGTCTCTGGGCTCCCTCCCCTTTTTTGTCACAATTTTAAATGTCCAGAAAGGTTGCAAGAATAATACTAAAGAACTTCTTGCTGGAAACTTTGCAAGCAAGTTGTCAACATGCTCCATCATCCCTGAAAGCTTGAGTGTGTTTCCTAAACAAAGACTTTCTTCTCCCTAAACACAATCAGGAATCTAATACAGCATGACCCTCAGATCTGTCCTGTCACCACCCGCCCGTCACAACCCTTTCAGCACAGGATCGGTCCAGAGTCCGTATCTCAGGTCCTCCAGTCTGGAGCAGTCCCCAGTGTCTCCTTGGCTCATATGGCTAAACTCAAGGTCAGGGCACAGTTCCCCAGACCCTCACATCTGCTCAGGACTCTTGACACCAGCTGCTAGTTCTGGGGTTGCCACTGGGGTGTCCCCACAGCCTCCTCAGTTTTGGCAGTTCCCAGGGCAACTCCCAGAACTCAGGAAAGTACTGTGCTGAAGATTGTGGTGTTGTTACAAAAAAGGGTACAGAGCATGGCCAGCATGGCTCAGTGGTTAAGCACTGGCCTGTGACCCAGGAGATTGCATTTCAGTTCCTGGTCAGGGCACATGCCCTGGTTGCAGGCTAGATCTCCATTGGGGGGGCGTGCAGGAGGCAGCCAATCAGTGACTCTCATCATTGATGTTTCTCTCTCTCTCTCTCCCTCTCCCTTCCTCTCCCTGAAATATACATATTTTTAATATATTTTTTAAAAAGAAAGAAAAGGGTACAGACCAGGACCAGCTAAAGAGAGGGACGCACTGGATCAGGCCTGGGACGGTCTCAGACTGGAGCTCTGCGCCCTCAGACCCATTACCACCTGGTGTCATCCACATGGATTACCCCCCCGGGCATCAGTGTCCAGAGACCCTGCTGGAGTTTCAGTGCATGATTGAGCCCATCATTAGCCTCAGTACTAATCTGACACCAAGCCCCTCCCTGCTTGGCTGATACCATTTGGCTCAAAGTCCCAAAACTCTAATCATATAGGGTGGGTCTTTCTAGTCATCTAGTTCCTTATTATAAACTGGGCCACCATGAGTCAGATGCTGCTGTCTCTCAAGAAATTTCATGGCTGTAAGGATTTGGGGCAAAGGCCAGACCTCTTCAGTAGTTAGTTCTTTAGACACAGGGACCTGGACAGATCTAGAGACTATTTATGGGCCAGTAATGTACAACAGGAGTCAGAAAACTGGCCAAACGAGGCTGCTGCCCATCTTGTAACTAAAGCTTCTTGGAAACATGGTCACAGCCCACCCCTACCTGTGGCTACTCTCACTGTAATGCAGTGTGGGAACTGGATGGCCTGGAAAGCCAAATACTGTGTAACCCTGTAATCAAAAATTTTGCTGACCCCTCTTGTAGACAGGTGGGTTTGCCTGATGTTTGCTCTTGGTTACATTCGGGTGGTACATTTGGACAGGAATAGCAGTGTCCCCAGGTGACTCCCGTGTACTTGGAACCTACCAATGCCTGTTCCCATTCCTCTGCCCACTTCTGGGGTGAGTTTATTCTCAGTGTTGTGGTTTCACGTGGTAGTTTTTCTGTTCGTTCCTTCCTTCCATGTTCATTGGTTGGCATTCAACTGGAAGGATGTTTCCTCCCCGGTTTACTTACTCAGTTACTCACATCGGCCTGTACTCATGCTCTGTTAGTATCACTGATACTTTGTTTCTGAGACCATTCCAGGGTGGCTAGTGGGAGCCCCTTCAGCTTAGCTTTGTGACTCTTTTTAAAATCTCCAACATTTTATTTATTTATTTAAAATATATCTTTATTGATTTCAGAGAGAGGAAAGGAGAAGGAGAGAGATAGAAACAGCAATGATGAGAGACTCATTGATCAGCTGCCTCCAGCATGCCCCCGACTGGGGATCAAGCCCGCAACCCAGGCATGTGCCCTGACGGAATCAAAACCTGATCGCCTGGCCAGGCCGGGCGTGGCTCAGCGGTTAAGCATCGACCTAGGATCCAGGCGATCAGGGTTCGATTCCCGGTCAGGGCACATTCCCCCGGGTTGTGGGCTCAATCAATGACTCTCTCATCATTGATGTTTCTAGCTCTCTCTCGCCCTCTCCTTTCCTCTCTCTGAAATCAATAAAGATATATCTAAAAAAAACCAAAAAACCTGATCGCCTGGATCCTGGGTGGATGCTCAACCGCTGAGACACACCCGGCCGGGCCAACATTTTATTTTTAAAATTTTCAAACATAAAGTGGCAATGCTTTACAGAGAACTGAGGTTTTTCCATTAACATCTCCAATTTTTTTTTTTTAATATATCTTTATTGATTTCAGAAAGAGGAAAGGAGAGGGAGAGACAGACAGAAACATCAATGATGAGTCAATGGGGATCGAGCCCATAGCCCAGGCATGTGCCCTGACCAGGAATCAAACCTCAATCTGGATCCTAGGTCGATGCTCAACCGCTGAGCCACGCCCAGCCGGGCCCAAATTTTTTTTTTTTTAAATATATCTTTATTGATTTCAGAGAGGAAAGGAGAGGGAGAGAGAGAGAGATAGAAATATCAATGATGAGTCATTGATCGAGCCCGCAACCCGGGCATGTGCCCTGACTGGGAATCGAACCCTGATCGCCTGGATCCTAGGTCGATGCTTAACCACTGAGCCACGCCTGGCCGGGCCCAGATTCTTTTGATGTCTTCATTTTTGAGCATTTGTTCCTGCTGCACAGGACAGTCCAGGCTCATCTTGTCCTTTCGCAGCCCTGGCATTGACCACTGTTCCTTGGGATGGAGAAAGTTCATAGGTCTCAGAGCCGTGACCAGCATACCGCTGTGCTTGCTGTTCTAGGCGGCATGCCCCAGGCCTTCTGTGGACTAGAGTCGTGTGTTCTGTATTCAGTCACAGATGTCTAGCCTTTGTGTTCACACAGACACCTCCTAGCGTCAACGTAGCTCATCCTTGTGTCTGTATTTGTAACTCCTTTCTCCAGCTGGGAGACACCTGGCTTCTCTTTTCCTTAATTTGGGGACTCAGTTGTCACCTTGAATGTCACCCACCCATGCAGACCTTGCCCTGGTTTTGCACTGAGCTATTTAGGAAGGGCCCTGCCCCCATGTCTCCAGGGAGCTGAGAAATCCTCTCTCACTCACCCTGCCATCAGTTTGGTCCTATGTCATCAGTGGTGTCGGTGGCCAGGAGCAGGACAAAGCGGAGAGGCTTGGCCTGGACGGCTGGCCCTGGGTCCTCCTAGGGCTCCTACCTTGAAGGGCAGGAGTCTCATGTCCCTTCTGTGAAGGTCAGAGTGCTGCAGGCCTGGATTCCAGTCCTGGACCCTTTTCTCTGCATACCCAGGGCCGCCTGTCCAAAGCCTTGGGCGTGGGGAGTGTGTGAGGACCCCTGTTGACACCAGAAGGGGCCTGGGCCTCATTTCTCTGGGATGTCCTCTTGGCAGGAGAGCACTGGGGATCCCCATCTGGGAATTGACTCCCTGGGGGCTCCTGTCCACAGTGTAGAGGAAGCAGGGCTAGGAGTGTGAGGGCCTGGAGTGAGGGTGCATGCACATGGGAGATGGCAACAGCTGCTGGCTGGCCAGCCATCACAAGTGTGCCTGGTCCTGAGTGGATTTTCTTCTATAACTAGTGTGCTATAAAAGACTGAAAAGACTGCATCTGGTTAAGGGCCAAGGCCCCCACCCCAGCTCTCACTCCTCCCGTGGGTCCAGGGCACCAGTTGGCGGTGTTCAGGGGCTGAGGGGTGGCATGGATGCAGGTGGCCTGTTCTGCAGACCAGGAGCTGAGATTGACACTGTTCTGAGAGGGGGAGGCTGGGCCGAGCATCCTCTGCCCCTGGTGCATTGAGGGGCTGGCAGGGTAGGGCCTGAAACTGAGTGCCTGCTGGGGCTGAGGTAGCCTTTGTTGACAGGTCTCTGAGGGTCGGGCTGCAGATCTCCATGGACTACTGGTGGTGCACAAACATCATCCTGCGAGGGGTAGAAGAGGTCTGTCTGTGTGTCCTCCGTTATAGCTGGGCCCATCTGTACTGTGGGACGTAGAGGTTCTGGAGGTGGGTGTTGGGTGGACTGAGGAGGTGCCCGCCTGCCCCCATCCCCTCCCTCCATGCCTGTGGTCAGAACAGCCCGGGGTACTTGGAGGTGATGTCTGCGTGTCATCAACGGGCAGCCGATGCCCTGGTAGCCGGGGCCATCAATAACGGGGGCCTCTACGTGAAGCTGGGCCAGGGACTGTGCTCCTTCAACCACCTGTTGCCCCCTGAGTACATCAGGACACTGCGTGTGCTGGAAGACAGGGCCCTAACACGTGGCATCCGAGAGGTGAGCTCTGCCCCAGAAGTGAAGAAGCTGGGAGGTGGGGCTCAGTGGTGGCCTCAACATGCTCTAAGAATCCTTTCTGTAAGGTGGACGAGTTGTTCCTTGAGGACTTCCAAGCCCCACCCCATGAGCTCTTCCAGGAGTTTGACTACCAGCCAATTGCAGCCGCCAGCCTGGCCCAGGTACACCGTGCCCGGCTGCACGATGGCACCGCTGTGGCTGTAAAGGTATGAGGGGTCCCCCTTGTGTGGCAGTGGGCTTGGGTGGCGGCAGCAGCAGCCCGGTGCTCCCCATGCCCTTGCCCTATGCAGGTGCAGTACATTGACCTGCGGGACCGTTTTGATGGGGACATCCACACCCTGGAGCTCCTGCTCAGGCTGGTAGAGTTCATGCACCCCAGCTTTGGCTTCAGCTGGGTCCTCCAGGTAACCGCCACCCACAGGCAGGAGTGGCACCCTGTATGTGCTGGGCTGTGCTGCCCCGACCCTTGACTGCCTGTGTGGCCCCCAGGACCTAAAGGGGATCCTGGCCCAGGAGCTAGACTTTGAAAACGAGGGCCGGAACGCTGAGCGCTGTGCACGGGACCTGCAGCACTTCCACTATGTTGTGGTCCCCCGTGTACACTGGGATACGTCCAGCAAGGTGGGCTGGGCCCCCTCCTGGGTGGGAGGGCAGGAGGAGGCCCAGCCCTGCTGAACGTAGTCTCCCTCTTCCCCCCAGCGCGTGCTGACAGCCGAGTTCTGTGAGGGCTGCAAGGTCAATGATGTGGAGGCCATCAAGTCCATGGGCCTAGCTGTGCAGGATGTGAGTGCCGTGTGCACAGGGTGTGGCATGAGGGAGGGGGCACATTATGTGCACAGTGGGGATGTGGGGGGAGTGCCATGTGCTGTGTGACAGTGGCATGGCCCTGTTCTCGCCCCAGATAGCAGAGAAGCTTATCAAGGCTTTTGCTGAGCAGATCTTCTACACTGGCTTCATCCACTCCGACCCCCACCCTGGCAATGGTAGGAAGAGCCCCCAGGGGGTGGAGGAAGAGCTGGGGCTGGAGTGGGTGAGCATGAGCCAGTGTGCCCTGTCCTAGTTCTGGTGCGGAAAGGCCCGGACGGGAAAGCAGAGCTGGTGCTGCTGGACCATGGGCTCTACCAGTTCCTGGATGAGAAGTAA